CGCCTGTGCCCAAGTGAGAAGCCAGGTGCTCCCGGCCACGGCCGCTCGCGGGGACGGAAGAGAGGGAGGTGCGTCGGTGCGTGGCGGCCTTCGGAAGAGTCTCCGCCCCTGACCCGGGGCTCCCTGGCCATCGGGCTTCGTGATTCCAGAATTGGGGATGGTGACCATTTAAGTGACTGTACCCCATTCAGTACAGTTCCTTTTCATGCCGCTTGCGGACATCTAAAGTAGCTGTAGTGTTATCAGAGTTTTCAGACTTGATTTTAAACTTGTGCTGATGGGCGCGGGACCTCAACCTTTTTGTGGAAATCAAGTGACAAAGGAACCAAGGCTGAAATTAGAAGGGTAACTAACCGTGGTCATTATTTCTTATAATTTCTTGTACATGTTTATTACTTGTTCTTAATTGAATTTAATTTATTAAAAAAAAGAAATTAGGGTTAAAAAAGGAAAACCTAAACAGAGGCCAGATATGACTCTTTATTGCTTGATCCTTTTTAAGTTCGGGGCACAGCCAGCTTATTTTGTAATGTTTATTTTCGGAAGGAATAGAAGCGAGTTAGGGTTCCAAGCCGCTTTGGGAATGATCAAACCAGGATACATCGCCACCTGCTGGTAGCATAACAGTTCTGTCCTGAAGACAATTATTTTCCGCATACTGTAACTGAAAAGAGTTCCATCCATCAATATACAATAACCAAAATGCAAACTTTATCTCCAAACTTATATCTTTTGTACACGTACTAAATATCTATCTTTTTTGCCCTGTCCTAATAATTTTATAGTAGCCCCAATGACTCATCAACTCATGCATTTTAAAAATGAGTTCCTTTCTTTCCTTCAAGAATGCCTCACTACTTGTGCTTAGGGAATAAAACAAACTGGGAAAGTTTCCTGATTCACCTCCTTTTCCTTGCATACAAAGCCTCTTTGCAGACTGCTTTCAAGATCTTTCCAAAGCTAAACAGACCCACAGTTCTAGCTGTGCGCAAAGAAGGCTCTTGCGGTGGGAAAGTTTCAGAAGACAGTTAGCAAAGGACTTAATTAAGCCAGTCATTCATCCCAGAACTGCTCTTTTTAACGGTGGATCTCTGTATGCACCCACAGAGCCCGAATGGTGACAGTGTCCCTGGGAGCTTCTTTACAGGTGTTGGTAGCTCTGGACCAGTGGGTGCTAACATGGGGCACACGCCCCATGGGGGCAATTTGATTTTTAAGGGGGGCAATTCGAAAATAAGTTATTAACAGTGAATTTTTTGCATTTCTTATGGTTCTAGGGGCCTCATTTATAGTATATAGTCAGTCCTCGGGTTACGTCAGACTCGACGTACATCGTTTCATGGTTACATCGCCATCTCTCATCTATACTAATTAAAGGGTAATATGCTAATTAGACTGGGTCGACTGGACATCTTCCAGTCATCCTTCTGGACAAAGCCACGATAGCAGGGGCCGAGGCAGAGGCAGTTAGGGGCAATCAGGCTGGCAGGGGAGAGCAATTAGGGGTCATCAGGTCAGCAGGGGAAAGCAGAGGCGATCAGGCAGGCAGGCAGGTTAGCCGTTAGGAGCCAGTGGTCCTGGATTGCAAGAAGGACGTCCAACTGCCAGTTTAGACCCGATTCTGCAGGAGCAGTTGGACATCCCCTGAGGGGTCCTGGATTGGAGAGGGCGCAGGCCAGGCTGATGGACCCCCTCCCCCATGCACGAGTTCATGCACCAGGCCTCTAGTTTATTTATAAAAAAACAAACAGAAAAAACTATTATTTCAATGTATGGACATATGTGCTTTATGTTTTTTATTGTTTATTTGCCACAAGTAAAGGTCAGGAATCATCTTTCTTTTAATTTTTTTTCTGTTTCACTTCATTACCGCTGTGTCTGTGCTCCATGTGAGTGACGTAGGTGCTTTGTAGGTGGGTTCCGACTTACTGTGAAAATCGCGTTACGTCGCGCCATAACGGATCTCCAACGTAACCCAAGGACCTACTGTATAAGTATATATTGTGATTTATTTGTGCATTTCAGTTCTCTATTAAATGCTTTGAAAATTTGCTATTTTTTCATATCACTTCATATTACTATTTTTTAACAATTTCTTAGTGATTTCTTCCTCAGTACTTCACCTGTCCCTTCTTTTATTTTTCTCTTTCATGGATGCCATGCTCTTTGGAAGCTTGCTTAGACCAAATTAATTTTTAGGCTTCCTCCCTGTGAATAGCAGTTCACTTTTTGAATAATGAGAATTGTATGTCACGGGGGCATCAGTATTTTAGAGATGCTTAGGTGGGGCATGGCCAGAAGCAGGTTGGGAACCACTGGTCTAGACTGTTCTGAATGTTCCATCTAGAGCAGTGGTTCTCAACCTTCCCTACGCCGCGACCCTTTACTACAGTTCCTCATGTGGTGGTGACCCCCAACCATAAAATTATTTTCGTTGCTATTTCATAACTGTAATGTTGCTACTGTAAACAATATGTAATTATATATGTGTTTTCCAGTGGTCTTAGGTGACCCCTGTGAAAGGGTCGTTCGACCTCCAAAGGGGTCGCAACCCACAGGTTGAGAACCGCTGATCTATAGAATCCCTTCAGAAAGTCCCGTCACACTCAGTGTCACTAATTCCTTAGCTAGAAAGACGACCATGGTGACCCAGTTCCCGGCACATGGTCTCCGAGGTTGTACAATGGCGCTTATTCTAAACCACATTCTCATCTCCTCATCCATTCTGTCAACATGCTTACTGAGCACCCACCACTTAGCACTGTTGTGGGCATTGGGAGTCCAGTTCTGAAGACAGTGTGGCAAGGCAACTACTCAAATGGGGCAAAATAACAAAGAAATTACATTCTTCCTCCCTCTTTTCCAAACTGTTTTCTGTCTATAGATTGCTGCCCCCAGAAGTAAAGAATATCAGGAATGGGTGGTGAGAGGCAGCAGGTGGGAGGTATTTCAGGGAACGATGAACATGGGTCAGCGTTTCTCCAGGCCAAGAGACTTTTTTTCAAACCTCTTGGCAAAGCCACAACAAAAATATACAGCAAATTCTAGATGGATAGAAAGTTGTTTATTTTTATAAAACAGTACAAATCATATTGAAATGTAAATCCTCTTGAGCAGTGTTCCTTATCGCACAGTAATCCCAATGCGAATGAGCACCTGACATCTGACCGTGCCGCCTGTTCGTCAGCCCTCCTGTCCTCAGCACCTTAACTAGTGGTCATCTTCATTTCACAGTGTTTCTGTTTCCTTCACGTTCACTAGTTACAACAACAAGATAAGCTGAGATGAGCGATTCATCACACGGGAGTACCCCAAAGCAACAAGCTCTGCAATGCCCAGCCCCTCCATCTCTGAGGAGTATGGGGCACGAACTGGCAGCCAATGAAGCCTGTTCAGAGTCTGGTATGGAGCGGGTTGCACGGGGCCACGCTTTAAGAGCCAGCTGCTGCTGTTCTGTCCAGAGCTTGCTCCACGCCACTTTCTGCTAGGCTTTTCTGAAGTCAGCACTCCCCAGCACTGACTTTGACCATAAGAAACTAGCCAGCATTTTAGGGATTCTGATCACAGAAGAAAAAAAGAGATAGAGATATTACTGTCAGATTATGTCCATGTCCAGCAAAACTCTAACCAAATGACAACCATTTTAAAAAGGTGCACTGTTAACATGCCTTTGAACTGCCTTTCACAGAGCAATGATGACTCTACGTGGCCCCAAGCACTGCCCGTGTGGCCAGTGACCTGCACTTTCAAGAACCCTCATAAGGTTCTTATTCCCAGTGGCCTCGACGAGCCGAAACTTTACTGGCCTTCAGCCCTGACTTCACCAGCCTGGTACACTTTCCCACCAACAAAGCCGACCCATCACCACCGATGTAAGTAACATCATCAAACAAACAAAAGAAATGCTACCTAATGTCTCTATGAGATGCACAATGGGGTATTTCATTCATTCACACCAGGATTTGCACGGAGGCAAAGAATGAAGTGAATAAGTGACCTGCCCAAATGAGTTAGCCAGGGAGTAGCCACATTCCGTAAAAGAAAGCAGGAATTCTTGATTCCACATGTCTCGTTCTAAGTTTACATTCTTGCTTTTCCGGGTGAGGTCAGAGAATATCACTCATGTTGTTGTTGTTCCTTCCTAGACTGGCCTTGTCATAATATGTTGTCCACAGATGGTGGTGCCTTTTCCAGAGAAAAGAAAAAACAGTAACAGGACTAAAGGGGGTGTGTCCAAAATGAAAAACTTTGACTCGCTACCCTGAGGCCACTACACACTTCGGTCTTTGGTTCTAGTTTGCATGAAGCATAGCAGACCTGCAGTCGGAACTGCCGTCTCCCTCCAGTCCAGTGGCGTCCATGTGGGAAATCCTGTGGAATTCCATCACAGCCGCTCATGCCAGGACATTAATGCACAAAAGCCCTGACAAGGGGCATTTTCCCTGGCAAAGCAGAACCCAGACAGCAGGACTGGGTCAGCCTGCCCACACCTCCTCCATCTCTCACCCGAGTCCCAGCTCTGTGGATTCTGAGCAGAAGAGGGAACACAGCAGGCCTGAGCTGCTGTCCTTGGGAAGGCTGGCTCTTGGCGGGCATCTGGGAACACGGATTTGGGAAGAGCTCCATGAACCGACCAGCCTGGCTCACTGCACAGGCCGCATGGTTTATACTGAACACCGCCTTCCCTTCTGGCAGTCAGGAGCTTTGTACGTGCCAGCCAAAGGCTGCGTGCGTGGCCAGCCCCAAGGAAACCTGAGCCTCGAATGAGCTTCCTTGGCAGGCTTGTCACACATATTATCACAAACCATGGCTAGAGGAGTCAGACAGCCCGCGTGAGGCCACTGGGAGAGGACTCGGACGTTTGGGCCTGGGCTCCCCCTGGGTCTGCTCTGGCACCTTTCCTCTTGCTGCTCTGTCCTTGTGCCCTTGCACTATGATAAATCAGAGCTATGAGTACAACTACATGCTGGGTCCAGGGAGTCCTCGCACCATATACCAACCCAAACGTAGCCTGGGGGACCCCAACCTCGTTGGTACAGGGAGGCTGAACCAGTAACCCACCCAAAGCCACAGTTCTGCCCCTTACCGCGCCTCCCCCACCTCCCTTTGGTTAAGTAAGCAGATGCCGTTCTCTGATCCAATGCGCAGAATGCCAAAGGCATGAGTCTCCCTAACAGGCACTCACTTTGTAGTAAATGGTGGGATTTCTTTAAATTGCTACACGGAAAACAGGGTAGTGTTTGTTGAAAAAGTCACCCCTCAAAGGAATAAGGAAGAAGTAGCGCCAATCTTTTCCGGGTTCCTCTCTGAGCTATATGAATGTCCAGCTGCCCAGGAGCTGCAGGACCACAGTCAGCACAAACCGAAAGGAATGCGGTTCGGACCTCCTCAGCGACACTGAGCCTGCCTGCCTACGACTGCACCACGGCAGGAGTTAGGGTTTTAATACTGGTATGTGCTCCACTTGGACACGGACTGATTAGGGAGCCCTTTTTCTGAAACCTACATTTGTTAGACAAGCATGGCTCCATCACAGCCCTATTTCCAGCCTGGGCCCCACGGCTAACACCCCACCCATCAGCCACGGTAGGCGTCGGCTAGTGCGCCTGGAGGTACCCAGGATGTTTCCGCTGCGGCTCCTCGCCCCGCCTGCCTCTCCAGGCACGGTACTTCTTGATGCTTTTCCTCCAGGCAAAGCGCCAGATGCTTAACATGAAACACCAGGACACAGCATACATGGCTATGCCCCCCGCCTTCATAAACCACCTGGGCTTGGGTGAGACCATTTCGCAGAGAAGGAGGCGAGCTCCTAGGCCGATCCTCACTCCAGTGAACAGGGCCACGAAGAGGAAGTCCGCCACGTCGCCAGTGAAGCTGTGGTAGTGCCCTGTTTCTCGGAGAAACCAGCGCAGCTGCAGCAAGGGGTTGGTAATCTCACTTCCAAAGAGGACTGCGTTGACCTCTGTCCCCGACTCTCCCAGCACCAGGGCCATGGTGATGCCCAGGATGCTCAGAGTGTGGTGTGCCAGCATCAGGGCACCCTCAGACTGGAAGTAGATGCACCAGCCCAAGTCGAAGATGAAGTAGCCCAAGGTGAGACACAGGACGCGCACTTGCAGAGGTGTATTGGGTGAGCCTGAAATAGACCAAGACAGAAACAAATTGAGCGGCTGGGGATTGTGCTGCCTCACACAGGGACCCTAGGTTACTGTCTCTCAATCCTTTTTAAAATATTGAAATAAAAAATAATAGTGCCCTGGCCGGTTTGGCTCAGTGGATAGAGCGTCGGGCTGCAGACTGTCTGGGGTTTGATTCTGGTCAAGGACACATGCCTGGGTTGCCGGCTCGATCCCCAGTGGGGGGTGTGCAGGAGGCAGCCGATCAATGATTCTCTCTCAACATCGATGTTGCAATCTCTCCCTCTCCCTTCTCTGAAATCAATAAAAATAAAAAAATATTAAAAAAACAATGGTAATTACATGCTTTTAAAATGATAACCTAAAAAAGACTAAAATCTGAAAACTTGGTCTTTATCAAACCAAACAATGTTCAAGGCCCCAGAAATGCTGTTCTGATGAATCATATCTCTCTCAATAAGTGGTTTAGGCACCAGTAATGATTTCAGTATCCTCTCTATGTAGCAACATAAAATCAAGTTATTTTGTTCTTTCAATTAAAATCCTACACAATTTCTTTCTTTCTTACCTTTTTCCCCCCAGCTAAAATTCTGTTTCCAAAGCTTTTAATTACGCTGTCCTGAATGTCATATAAATTTCATAATGTACTGAGTTAGAGTGCTGGACACTGTGACCCTAACCCCTCTTAAAAGTGGACTTTGGGCCCTAATCGGTTTTGCTCAGTGGATAGAGCGTCGGCCTGCGGACTGAAAGGTCCCAGGTTTGATTCCGGTCAAGGGCATGTACCTTGGTTGCGGCCACATCCCCAGTAGGGGCTGTGCAGGAGGCAGCTGGTCGATGTTTCTCTCTCATCGATGTTTCTAACTCTCTATCCCTATCCCTTCCTCTCTGTAAAAAAAATCAATAACATATATTTAAAAAAGAAAAAGTGGACTTTGGAAAGAACCCCAGAAATGAGTGTGTTCCACATCCAAGAACATAGGGTGCAAGGATCTGACATGTTCAAATCCATTAAGAACCTTCATGGATACAACACAAAGCTTAAAAGTTGCTTTCATATCAGTTTGACAGTTTGAAAGGAAACTCTGAAGTTCAATATAGAAATCTAAGAAAATTTAAAGAAAAGAATCTAAGGTGTTTTTAAAAATGTTATTCTAGGGGACGTATGGACCAAATTATGTCACCCCAAAATCCATATACTGAAGCCCTGATCCCGGACCTCAGAGTGGGAGATGGGCCTTTAAAGAAGCGATTAAATTAAAGCAGGGCACGTGGTGGCCCTGATCCAGTGTGATGGCTGACCTTACAAAACCCGGCGATGAGGACACAAACACCCACAAAAAAGGGAAGCCCATGAGAGGGCACAGCAAGAAGGCAGCCATCTGCAAAGGAGAGAAGCCTCAGAAGAAACCAAACCAGCCAACACCTTCATCTTGGATTTCTATCCTCTAAAACTGTGAAAAAAATAAACTCCTGTTGTTTAAGTTATGGCAGCCCCAGCAAACTCATACAAGGGGATATGATTTTTGTATTCTAAGAAAGTAACACTTATACAGCTAGCAGCTGAAAAATACAGCTGCCCCAAATTATAAGGCACTGGCTATATAAATGATGGTAAATGCACAGAGCACAATATTATCTACACTAATAAAAGAGAAACATGGTAATTGGCTAATCAGCGAGATATGCAAATTAACTGTCAGCCAAGATGGCAGCCGGCAGCCAGGCAGCTTGAAACTAACATGAGGCTTCCTTGCTTCAGTGACAGAGGACTCCAACATTCCCAGCCTGCCTTGCCAGCCTCTGAGTCTGCAGTTTGAAACATTTTAACAAATATAGAAGTTAAAAAAAATCCCAGAAACCAGCTCTCAGTGAGCTGGGATCTCAGACCTGGAGACAGAGATGGAGTTATACATTGTTTCGATTACAGAACAGACCAAATCGGCCCTGCTCTGAGCCCGACCAGGGGCTGCACCTAGGGATTGGGCCTGCCCTCTGCCACCTGGGAGCAAGCCTAAGCCAGCAGGTCATTATCTCCCGAGGGGTCCCAGACTGCGAGAGGGCACAGGCCGGGCTGAGGGACCCTCCCTCCCCGCCGAGTGCACAAATTTTTGTGCACTGGGCCTCTAGTCCTATATAATAAAAAGGTAATATGCAAATTGACCCTCACTCTGTCACACCATCACAAGATGGCTGCACCCAGAGCGGAGGCGGGGTTCCCATAAATGAGAGATCAGCAGGGACCTGAGGCTGTGCCCCTTGCCCAGTGGGGCTTGATGGGGGACCTCAGGCCACAACTCCCCCGCCCAGTGGGGCTTGACAGCAGACCTCAGGCTGCACCCCTTGCCCTGGAGCCAGGCCGGGGGACCTCAGGCCACGTCCCCGCCCTGGCTCTAGGCCGAGGGACCTGAGGCCACACCCCCAGACCAGTGGGGCTTGACAAGGGACCTCAGGCCATGCCCCCTGCCTGGCAGGGCTTGAAGGGGGACCTCAGGCCATGACCCCTGCCTCAGTGCCAGACCAGGGGACCTGAGGGTGCACCGGGGGACCTGAGGCTGCTCCTCCCACCTGGCATTGGGCCAAGGGACCCGAGGTTGCGACCCCCACCTGGCAGGGCTTGATGGGGGTGGGGCCAGCCGGGTTTGGATTTCACCCAATGGGTGGGGCCGGCCAGGTCTGGGTCTCGCATGATTTAGAGGTGCACACGGGTGAGCAGGGACTTGACTCTAGGTCCTGCAGTGTGCCACCGTCTCTGACAGGAGGACAATTTTCATAATTTTCTTTCATCTCTGACTCTTCTTTACTAATTTTCTTTCATCTCTGAAACTTCTATTATAGAGAAAGGGCAAATAGCTATATTAAAATATTTCCTCTAATTCATTCCCTTTTAATGCGCACAAATTTTGTGCACTGGGCCACTAGTGTAATAATTAAAAAGAAAAAGGAAGCTCTATGCCCATATACATGGAAAGATGATATCTTTTGAATATACAATCAAGTAAAAATTGCAGGTTACCAATAAATATGTATACTACTGCCCATTTGTGTCTGTTTGGGGGTGGTTGGAAGATGCTGATACTGGCTTCTTGTTTTGTACATTTTGATGGATTACATTATAACAAGCATTTTATCATAACGGGCACATTTTTTTTTTAATATATTTTATTGAGTTTTCACAGAGAGGAAAGGAGAGAGATAGAGAGTTAGAAACATCGATGAGAGAGAAACATCGACCAGCTGCCTCCTTCACACTCCCCACTGGGGATGTGCCCGCAACCAAGGTACATGCCCTTGACCGGAATCGAACCTGGGACCTTTCAGTCCGCAGGCCGAAGCTCTATCCACTGAGCCAAACCGGTTTCGGCATAACGGGCACATTTTAAATGTGTTTTAAAGATAGAGAGTTATGAAAAGCAGAAACAATAGGTGACATACAATATCACAGCTAACAATGAAGACTCCCAATAGAAATGATAATAGAAATTATTTTCAATATTTTTTTATATTATAGAAATTCTCTGGGGAAAAAGTCCTATCCTTCTAAGACTACCCCAAAATTATACATCCCTGAGGGAAAAACCCTGTCTCCCACCTACCTGGGTAGGTGAAAGGCCAGGGGCCATCAATGAAGCCAATGTACGCTGAGAGGCCTATCGCGAGGACTCCATGGGCGAGTGTGACCAGCCGGCAGCTCCATTCGTAGCTTCGGTGCTTATTCATGTGGCAGCAAGAAATGTAGAGGGAGAGCCAGCCTCCCAGGCTGCCCAGCACCTGCAGACACAGGGCTAATGCCATCCTCTGATGAAGAGAACGACACCAGAAACACAAAGGATGCATCTCAGAAAACAGCACTGGGCTCATTTGAGTATAATTGTCATTTCTACGATAGCATAGTACAAAGATACTGCCTTCATGGAAGCCCTGTTTCCTTATATACATATCCAAGCATCTCCTATTTAAGTGTGGCTGGATTTCTGACTCTATGATCCTCAAAGATAACATATTGAGCCTGGCAGATGTGGTTCAGTGGTTGAGCAACAACCTATGAACCAGGAGGTCATGGTTTGATTCCCGGTCGGGGGGCACATGCCTAGGTTGTGGGTTTGATCCCCAGTTGGGGGCATGCAGGAGGCAGCCCATTAATGATTCTCTCTCATCACTGATGTTTCGATCTCTCTCTCTCTCTCTCCCTTCCTCTCTGAAATCAATAAAAAATATTTTAAAAGATAACATGTTGGTAACTGGTAAAAGCTGTAGATGGAACACCAGGAACTGCATTGTGAGTTAGCAGACTGTCTACTGTAACACACTGTTACAATCAGTAAATGTCAGTAGTAACCTCCCAGTGATAACTGACCTTGGACAATAACATTGTATAATCCTATCTAATAAAAGAGAAACATGGTAATTAGCGTACAACCGCTACCCTTCCGATTGGCTAATCAGGGTGATATGCAAATTAACTGCCAGCCAAGATGGCGGCTAATTTGCATAGTCACAATGATGAAAGGTGAAAGGGGAAAGATGGAAGACAGTGATCAGAAACCCAGGCGCAGGCAAGAGCCAGGGAGCAGGGCAAAGGTCAGCCCTGGAGGGCA